AAATCAAGAAGGGAGTGCGTCAGGGTTGTATTCTTTCTCCACACTTATTCAATCTATATGCTGAGCAAATAAATAAATCTGCTACTCACTGTCAAATGACTCAAATTAATTCTGTTAAGCTTCAGTTTGTGTGGGTTTCAAATAACCCAAACTTAAAATGTTTTGAAAATCTAAGGTGCTATATTCAACCATAAAATGTAAACATGAATCACTAAAAAGCAAAAACAATTGCTTCTGGAAAGTTCCTTTTGTTAATTTAATATTATTCACAGAATGGAAAAATACACACCTTCTGTCACCAGCAGTTATCCTTGGAGAATGAGATTGGGCGGAAAGAAAGAAAATTGTATATTTACCTTTACAACACTCTATATTACTTAAATTAGTTCCTAGTACATATTATTTTCACAATTAAAAATACTATGTTTCCAAAAGAAAAAGGAGCAATCCTAGATTTACCGTCTTAGAGACAAAGTCATGCAAGCGCATCCCTCCATTACTCTGTGGAGTGCTGGAACAATCTGTCTCAGTTTTGGGCTCCAGCTGCCTGCTATTCAGGGTGGAGTCACTGTTCCAAGGTTGTAAAGTACCTAGAAAACAAGCAGCATTAAGCTCTGTATCTTAAGTATTGCGTTCCTTCTGAATTTTTCCACAAATTTTAATTGGTAGATAAGCAATACTCTGTGTAACCATAACCAAAAGTAACTATCAACAGCTCTCAAAAAAAAAAAAAAAAAAAGTTATGCACTAAATTGGCAAGGCCAAGGCCAGCAATATAAAAATAAGGTACAACACAAACAGTTCTCTGACCCTCATTAATCAGCAGTGGAAACTACCCAAAATACCCAATCCCTGCACCTCAGGAGGCTTCTTTCTAAGAAAAACTCTCAAATTTTACCAGGTGTCTGACACAAGCAATTTAGTCACAAACCCAATGGACCTGTTTTCCTTCGGCTCCTGGTCCAATATGGCACAGTTTCAATCGTGGACACAGCTTCAATGGGCCCACCATCATTGGGAACAGTTACTGTAGTTTTTGCAACTATGGATTCATTCCCCTGAAACAAAAGTAGCAATGAGAAGCAAGCAAACATATAGAATCTTATTTTCCCTCTACTACGGGGTATTTTTAGGAGCTCTGGTAGCATAGTGCCTAAGGCACTTGACTGCTAACCAGAATGCTGGTGGTTCAAACCCACCAGCCACTCCTCGGAAGGAAGGTTGGGCAATCCTACTACCGTAGTGATACTGCCTCGAAAACCCAAGGAGGGGTCGCTATGAGTCGGGGCCGACTCCACGGCAAATAACAACAATAACAACGGGGTATTTTAAGGAGCTCCAGTGGTGCGGTGCCTAAAGCATTTGACTGCCAACCGTGTGACTGTTAACCAGAAGGTTAGCGGTTCAAACCCACCAGCCACTCTGCAGAAGGAAGACTAGGTAATCTACTTCCATAAAGATTTACCATCTCAGAAACCCAGTGAGGGATGCTATGAGTTGGAATTGCCTCGATGGCAGTGGGTTTACAGGGTATTTTGGAGTGGATGAAAAGTTCCTGAATCTTGGTCAGGACTTAAGGCCTCATCTGAAAACACTCTTCAATTGAAATCTCATACTTTAGAATAGAAAATACAGGTCACAGGGATATACACACAAACAACTGAGAATCAAACATAAAGATGACAGATGTTTACATAATCAAAGTAATTTCATTCACTATAGATGATAAGGATACTATTACACAGAAAAACTCTCATCAAACATCTCTCTCAAAATAACACTACAATGCTGACTCAGGATTTTTAATGCTTGGGGCCACTTATCTCTGGTGTGTTCAAGATCACAATTCACTCAGTCTGACTAGTCTTACCTGATCTGCTGTGGAGCCAATGGAACGAGTTTTCTTTATAGGTCCAGGTGGACCATCAATAAACTGTCGGCTATTTGAGCGCTAGAGAGGTGGCAAAGACAAATAATTTTAGTGCCAAGTAGAAGATCTGAAGAAATGAAGATAAAATTATTCCATCAGACAAATGGGATGCAAGTCCTAGAGACCAGGACTACAGTAAATAACAATGTGCTCTCTCTCTTATTGCCAGTCTCTATATGAAGCTTAAGCTGTACCACCCCAAAAATGCCCTTGGTGCCCCGAAAGAAATGAACAAGCTTCAAAGAAATTTAGATGACAGCACTAGAAAAAGTAGAACTGTAATCCTATCTGAGAATATGAAGTCTTTGGAAACACATTATGTACCCTAAACAAGCACACACAGATAGTCTCTGTATATCCCATTATATACACATTTCATCCAAAGCTCACACTAGAGCATAAAAGTCTTGCATAAAAATTCATACAACTCAAAACAAACTTACATAAATTCTCTTCCACTCTATGAATGAATTGAAATGCAGCCCAGACCAGTAAAACAGGACAGGATCCTTACTGTTACTCCCCTCAGTTACTTACTATGCACCTATCCTCCTAATATGAATTCATCTGTAACGTGTCTAACAATGGCTAGAACAGTCTGTCACAAATATGGTATCATGGCAAAATACCCAGAAAAAACTCTTTTAATGTTACTTTGTAAAAAATAATAATAATGAAAACCAACATACTCTCTTTTGTCTTTTCTTCAGTTTGAAAGTCTTCACCAAAGAAGAATCCCAATCCTGTTGACAATTAACATTGTATTAATTTCTTTCTTTGGTTAGATAGATCTCCCCTAAACTCTGCACAAATTTACAGCTAACTTTAAAAGCTTCTGTAATTTGGGGAGGGAGGAGGGAAGATCTCAATTGTTGCAGCAATAGAGCTATAGCAAGTTAACATGCTTTCTTTCAAAAATTGAAGCTATTATAATAGAATCATGAATCAATACCACAGGGGCAAGAAAAGGTTAAAGAATCAGCTTCTGTCGTGATTACATCTGATGCCTGGTCTTTTATTTCTGATTATTTTTGTAATTAGTTTTAGAACTTACAGAATGTTAGGCACTATACTGATGGTGTTACATGTGATTCTTGCCCTCAAGGGATTGCTACTATCTAACAGATGGTCTGCACAATGTTGCCATTTAAACAGTTCTGGTTTAAGTTTTATGTCTCTCAACCATTCCTTTTCCTTTGGCCCTAAAAAAGATCTTCACCACTGAAAAATTGTCTTTTACTGGTCTGGTTTCACTTCACTTATTTTAACCATTTGCAATTATTTTTAACAGCTAACTGTGACTTCCTTACTTTTGATCATTCCTAAAAACAAAATATCCAGAAACAGAAGTTGTATATAGCAAGTAGTAGCTTAGCTAAATAAGTTTAAGCTAATAAACTTGAATAATGGTTCATGTTTGAATAATCTAGCTACGATTGTACAATTCAGCTTCCATTACAACAGGTATCACATAATAGGTATAGCTCCAAAACTAGCTAATAACATGTTTTAGTTTTACTATATACCATAAACCTATTCAATATCATTCCTTATTTAAAAAAGGTGATACCTAATTTTCCTATCTATGAAATAGCAATTATTTCCCTAGTCAAACAACTGAATTTGGACAGAAAAATCCTAGTCATGTAACAAGTAGTTGCCACTTGTTTTGCTAACATTAAAAACCAACCAAAAACCTCCACTAATTTACTGTTTTATTTGATAGCTGTTAGAAGAAAGATACACAAACTAATGAAACAGTAATGTCTTAGTTCTCTAGTGCTGCTACAGCAGAAACACCCTAAGTGGATGGCTTTAACAAACAAATTTATTCTCTCACAATTTAGGACGCTACAAGTCCAAATTCAGGGTGCTGACTCCAGAGTAAGGCTTTCTCTCGAGAGAGAAAGAGAAGTCCTTGCCTCTTTTAGCTTTTGTTCCTGGGCAATCTTCATGTGGCTGACATCAATCTTCCTCTGGGTCTATGAGGTTCTCAGCTCAGAGACCCCAGATCCAAAGGATGCAATCTGCTCCCAGCTGTTCCTCCTTGGTCATACTGAGGTCCCTCCCTCTCTGCTTGTTTCTTCTTCTATCTCTTGTTGAGATAAAATGTGATGCAGGCCACACCTCAGAGAAATGTCCCTTACATTAGAACAGGGTCATGACTTGAGTAAGGATATTTCCTCTCACCCTAATACCCTTACAACTGATTGATTGATCACATCACATCATAGCATGGGGGATGATTACATCATTACGTAACTGCCAAATTACATCATTACAGAGTTGCCAAACCACTGAGAATCATGGTCCAGCCAAGCTGACATATATTTTTAAGGGACACAATTCAATCCATGACATTCCACCCTTTGGCCCAAAAAAATCCATGTCATTTTCACCCCATCATATCATCCCAAAAGCCTAAATCAACTCCAAATCCAAACTCCATTCTGGGGCAAAATTCTTCTTCATCTGTGAATCTAGAATGGAAGTTATCTACTTCCAAAGCACAATGGTGGAACAGGCACAGGATAGACATTTTCATCACAAATGGGAAAAGTTAGAGGGAAAGGATGTTGTTTTTAGGTGCCGTCAAGTTGTCTCCAACTCATAGCAACCCTGTGCACAGCAGAACGAAACAACGCTTGGTCCTGTGCCAGCTTCATGATCCTTGCTATACTTGAGCCCACTGCCACAGCCACTGTGTTAAACCATCTTGTTTAGGGCCTTCCCCTCTTTCATCGACCCTTCACCTTACCAAGCACGACATTCTTCTCCAGGGAATGGTCCCTTTGATAACATAACCAAAGTAGGTGAGATAAAGTCTGGCCATTCTCACTTCCAAGGAGCATTCCGGCTGCACTTCCTCCAGGACAGATTCGTTAGTTCTTTCAGCAGTCCATGGTACTTTCAGCAATCCCCAGCACCACAACTCAAAAGCATCAACTCTTCTTCGGTCTTCCTTATTCATCACCCAACTCTCACGTGCATACGAGGCAAATGAAAATACTATCATCTGTGTCAGGCACACCTTACTGCTCAAGAAGACATCTTTGCTCTTCAGCACTTGAAAGAGGTCCTTTGCAGCCAATTTGCCCAGTGTTATACATTGTCTGATGTCCTGACTGCTACTTCCATTGGCATTGATTGTAGAACCAAGCAATGTGAAGTCTTTGACAACTTCAATCTTTTCTCCATTTATCGTGATGCTGCTTATAGGTCCAGTTGTAAGGATTTTTGTTTTCTTTATATTGAGGTGTACGGTGTAGTAAAATACATAGTGTGACTTTTCTAGCCATAAGTCTTTATAAACTCTGTGGTGGAATTTGCTGTCAGCAACTGAGTAGTTCCTGATTGTTAAAGTTATCCACTTGGGGTATTTCTGTTGGGAGCAGCATAAAGCAATTTTCTGGGAAGTTCGCTCTCTCTCTCAGGTGTATAGAATTCTGATGTTGGGACTGGTTAGTGGTCATTCTTCCAGGCTCAAAAGGAGCCCTTCTATGGGCAGAAGAAGTCTCTCTGACTATTGGCTGAGAAAGATATGCTGCTGAGAGAAACACGCTCCTGAGAGACACACGCGGCTGAAGGAGAGACACCAAGAAACATGCACTGCTGGGAGAGAGACTGAGAGAGTGTTGGCTGAGAGACAGTGGGCTGAGAGAGACTGAGCGTTGTTCCTGAACTTGAATTGTAGTCTGGTGCTTCCCTAATAAACCCCATAATCTGTGAGTTCTGTGTGGCCAATGCAGAAAATTATTGAACCCAGCAGAGAGGTGGTGGGTGCTGCGGAGGAATGGTTGGTATTAGGGTTGATGAAAGGGCTGGAGGGAAGCAGCATGTCTGGCCCCACAGGAATAGGCGTTGGGCTACTGATGGTGATTCTGTCTTCCTCTTGTGGGGTTAGAGGAGGTCATAATATGCAACCTCCTTGCTTCTTTGGCAAGGGGTAATCCATACTACAGACTATTCTTCAATCTTCATCAGCAAGTGCTTCAAGTTATCCTCACTTTCAGCAAGCAAAGCTGTGTCATCAGCGTATCACAGGTTGTTAATGATTCTTCCTCCAATCCTGATGCCACGTTCTTCTTTATATAGTCCAGCTTCTCAGATTATTTGCTCAGCATATAGATTGAATAAGTATGGGGAAAGGACACAACCCTTACACACTCCCTTCTTGATTTTCAACCATGAAGTGTCCCCTTGTTCTGTTCAAACAACAGTCTCCTGGTCTATGTACAGGTTCCTCATGAGTACAATCAAGTGTTCTGGAAT